ATTAACTGCTTATGTGAGCTACGCCCGGAAGAATATTCACCCACAATTAACAGATGAAGCTTCTGAAGAGTTGACTAGAGGATATGTTGAAATGAGGAGGAGAGGGAACTTCCCTGGCAGTAGCAAAAAGGTTTGTTTTCCTTGTCTTTTTATTGCATTGATTGTATGACTGATCATTTTCCTCCAAAAAAAAAGATTATGAGTGGTTATTGCTAGGCCGAAAGTTTCTGGACAAAGTTCAATACATTTCATAAGACAGCATTATTATTTGACTTCTAGTTCTGATATTATATGGAATAAAATGATGGTTTATTCTAAAAGCTTAAGTTGAAGTAATAATATTGTACACTAGGTTTCAAAAAAATGAACACAGAATTCACTTCATTTCCAAATGAGTTCCACAAGAAATTCATTTTTAAATACTGAGTACCTGTGTTTGGAATGACTTGTGACCTTGTGAAATATTATATGGAATACAGTGTCTATTAAATACATTTCTGGTCCTGTGGCATTTTTTTACTTTCATCTGTATCTTAAAGCATGTGATGATTGTCATAGATACTTCATTTTTACGCGATTATAATTCGTTTTCAAGATTTATCAATTTTGGTAGAATCAGAAATATATTTTTTCTATAGCACTTGGAATTCATTTAAAATTGCTTTTTATGTTTAGAGTAACTCCAAGCATTAGGATTAAGATTTGAAAATGAAATCTACAGTTTTATGTGATTCAATTGCTTCCTGACACACCCTAATAATTTATCTTATGACAGTAAGAAATTTACCCTCAAGAACCAGTTCTTTATCTAATATATTTTCTTTGTTCATTGATTATTTTTCTATGCAATAAACTCATTCCTGTAAATTCGTTATTGGACTCTTTTTGCTTCTTTTATGCCTTTACATTGTCCTTGAAATTTTCTCTGTTAAATTTTAGTGCTTGCTGATCAAAATCTTTCTTTGAACTTGTCAGTGACCATTATTTTTCATATTCTAACATCTAATCTCATGGACAGGTGATAACAGCAACACCTAGGCAAATTGAAAGTTTAATACGTCTTAGTGAAGCCTTGGCTCGGATGCACTTCTCAGAAAGGGTTAGTATAGTTCTAGCAGACATCACTACAGCTGATAATGGTTTCACTATAAAACTGATTATTTGCATCCTGATGCATGCAGGTTGAAAAGAGTGATGTAACAGAGGCATTTCGGCTTTTGGAGGTTGCAATGCAACAATCAGCTACTGATCATGCCACTGGTAATTTGCTCAAAGCATTCGTAAACCATATCTATGCTTTAATTTCTTCC